GCCTAAAACTCAGCTATCAATAACTTCGTGAATCATCGTTCTTTAATCAAATTTATTATTATTTTTAAAGAAATAGCTCTTCCTTATTTTTTTTTTTCTTTTTGGGTCCACCTGGCGATGCTCAGGGGTTCCTCCTGGCTCTGCACTCAGGAATCACTCCTGGCGGTGCTCAGGGGACCCTATGGGATGCTGGGAATCGAACCCAGGTCGGCCGCGTGCAAGGCAAACAAACGCCCTTCCCGCTGTGCTATTGCTCCAGCCCCCGCTCTTCCTTCTTTATGGGTTTGATTTTTCCTTCTGGGGCTACGCCCAGCAGTGCCTAGGGGTTACTCCCGGCTTTGCACACAGGAATGACTCCTGGCGATGCTCGGGGGACCGAATGGTATGCCAGGGATTAAACCCAGGTCGGCTGCGTGCAAAGCCAATGCAGTATCAGAGCTGTACTATCGCTCTGGCTCAAATCAGAAGTTTTTCATCTCGTACAGGTTCACCTTGTTTAACGTGCAATCAAGTAGAGAGAAAATCCACATCCTGACCTACAGGCGCCAACACGTATCTGTGTTCTGGATCCCTCTTTCAGTGTTTTAGTTTGTTTTGTTGGGGGCCACGAGCAACTGTCCTCAGGGGTCCCTCCCGGAGGTACTAGGGGACCACACAGTGCCCGGCATTGAACCCAGGCCCTTGGCATGCGAAGCATGTGCTCCGGGCCCTGGCGGCCTCTCCCTGGCCCTCCAGGCCTTCCTCACTGTGGGCTGTGGCTTTTCAAAAAATGCTGAAAGCAATTAGGCTGGCATGCTGGGAACTGGGTGACTCACGGCATTCCACCCGAGACCGTGCAACTCCGTGCCATCCCCGCGGGTCCGAGAGAGCAAACCCATTACTCGCTGCCAAGATTTGAAGGACAAATTGCAGTCGCTTATATTTTAAGCCACTTCTTTATTTTATTTTATTTTATTTTATGTTTTTGCTTTTTGGGTGACACCCAGCGATGCACTGGGGTTACTCCTGGTTCATGCACTCAGGTATTACTCCTGGCCGTGCTCGGGGGACCATATGAGATGCTGGGAATCGAACCCGGGTCGGGCCGCGTGCAAGGCAAACACCCTACCCACTGTGCTATCACTCCAGCCCCAACCACTTCTTTATTTTTATTTTTTTGCTTTTTGGGTCACACCCAGCAATGCTCAGGGGTTACTCCTGGCTCTGCGCTCAGGAATTATTCCTGTTGGTGCTCGGGGGACCATATGGGATGCTGGGAATCGAACCCGGGTTGGCTGCATGCAAGGCAAACTCCCTACCCACTGTGCTATTGCTCTAGCCCCTTAAGCCACTTTAATTTCTTTCTGTAGTTTTCTTTAGGGACCCCGTCTGGCAGTGCTGGGGTTGCTCCAGAGGGGCCTTGGAGCGTTTTGTGGTATGTGACCCCGGGCTTCTCCAGACAAAGCCTGGGTTCAGACCATTGAACCATTTCCTCAGGCCTTTAATTTTTTTTTCTTTTTTGGGTGACACTCGGCAATGCACAGGGGTTACTCCTGGCTCTGCACTCAGAAAATACTCCTGGCGGTGCTCAGGGGGACCATACAGGATGCTGGGAATTGAACCCGGGTCTGCTGCGTGCAAGGCAAACGCCTTACCCGCTGTGCTATCGCTCCAGCCCCAGGCCTTTAATTATTATTATTTCTAACTTTTTGGTTTATTTTTGTTCGGGGGCCACACCTGGCGGTCCTCAGGGCTCTGCACTCAGGGATCACTCCTGGCAGGGCTCAGGGGACCATACGGGGCTTTGGGGATCAAACCTGGGTTGGTCATATGCAAGGCAAGCGAGCGCCCTCCCCACTGTACTATCTCCCTAACCCTATTTTTTTTTCTTTTTTTAAGAAAAGTCATTTAGGGCTAGAGAGACGGTGTAGGGGTTCAGCCCCTTACCGTGCATATGACTGACCACGGTTTGCTTGCTGGCTAGCATACGGTCCCTAATACTGCGAGGAGTGACCCTGAACACAAAACCCGAGTAGGCATTGAGCACTGCTGGGTGAGCCCCAAAACAAAAAAGAGCAAAAGAACTCCCAAATCTAACCAAAACCAATGAACTTGTTTTACTGTTTTTTTCACAAACAGTAAAAACTCCTCTAATTTTTTTTTTCTTTTTGGGTCACACCCGGTGATGCACAGGGGTTACTCCTGGCTCATGCACTCAGGAATTACTCCTGGCAGTGCTCGGGGTACCATATGGGATGCTGGGAATCGAACCCGGGTTGGCTGTGTGCAAGGCAAACGCCCTCCCCGCTGTACCATCGCTCCAGCCCCACTTCTAATTTCTTTTTATCACTGAGCATTGTATAGATACAAGTTTGCTTGATGGCTACAGAAATACTTCCATTTTCTTTGCACTATTTTAGAAGAATGTGCCTACCATTTGTGTGACTTAAAACTTAAAAATGACTTTTGGGGGCAGGAGTGACAGTTCAGTGGGGAGGGCGCTTGCCTTGCACCCCGGCATCCCGTATGGTCCCTGGGGTCCTCCAGGAGTGTCCCCTGAGCACAGAGTCAGGAGCAAGCCCTGAACACTGCTGGGTGTAGCCCAAACCCAAAATACATGCTGTGTTGTGTGTGTGTGTGTGTGGGGGGGGGGTAAAGGGAGAGAGGAAAGGCTGTGTGTCCAGGAGAGAATGAGGCCTTCTCTCGAGAAAGTGCAAAGGGGTGACCCATGTGCCACATGAAAATGGGGGGGGGGGCCTCAAAATACAGTGAGTTGCAAAAGAACATTTAAAAAGTTTCCTCGATGGGGCTGGAGCGATAGCACAGCGGGTAGGGTGCTTGCCTTTATACGCGGCCGACCCGGGTTCGATTCCCAGCATCCCATGTGGTCCCCTGAGCACCGCCAGGAGTAATTCCTGAGTGCAGGGCCAGGAGTAACCCCTGAGCATCACCGGGTGTGACCCAAAAAGCAAAATAAATAAATAAATAGATAAAAAATTAAAGTTTCCTCGACTGGGGGCTGGAGTTATGGTACAGCGGGGAGGGCATTTGCCTTGCAAGCGACCGACCCCGGGTTCAATTTCCAGCATCCCATAGGGTCCCCCGAGCACCACCTGGAGTAATTCCTGAGTGCAAAGCCAGGTGTGACCCCTGTGCATCGCCAGGTGTGACCCAAAAAGCAAAATATACGGTCACAGTCCTCCCGTTGTTCATCGATTTGCTCGAGCGGGCCCAGTAACGTCTCCATTGTGAGACTTGTTACTGTTTTTGGCATATCGACTATGTCACGGGTAGCTTGCCAGGCTTTGCCATGCGGGCGAGATACTCTCGGTAGCTTGCTGGGCTCTCCGAGAAGGGTGGAGGAATTGAACCTGGGTTGGCCCCGTGCAAGGCAAACGCTCTACCCACTGTGCTATCGCTCCAGCCCCTCGATGTGTTTTTATTTTTCGCTTTTTGGGTCACACCGAGCAATGCACAGGGGTTACTCCTGGCTCTGTGCTCAGGAATTACCCCTGGCGGTGTTCAGGGGACCCTATGGGATGCTGGGAATCGAACCCGGATCGGCCGCGTGCAAGGCAAACGCTCTACCCACTGTGCTATCGCTCCAGCCCCTTGACGTGTTTTTATTTAATTTTTTGCTTTTTGGGTCACACCCAGCAATGCGCAGGGGTTACTCCTGGCTCTGTGCTCAGGAATTACTCCTGGCAGTGTTCAGGGGACCCTATGGGATGCTGGGAATCGAACCCGGATTGGCCGCGTGCAAGGCAAACGCTCTACCCACTGTGCTATCGCTCCAGCCCCTTGACGTGTTTTTATTTAATTTTTTGCTTTTTGGGTCACACCCAGCAATGCGCAGGGGTTACTCCTGGCTCTGTGCTCAGGAATTACTCCTGGCAGTGTTCAGGGGAACCTATGGGATGCTGGGAATCGAACTCGGATCGGCCGCGTGCAAGGCAAATGCTCTACCCACTGTGCTATCGCTCCAGCCCCTCGACGTGTTTTTAAACACAGGAAGGATTACCTTCCATATGGCAGGAGAACTCGTGCAGAGAAAACTAAGCCGATGAGAGGGTCTGTTTGAACTCAATGCTCTGTGTTGTTCATATAAACCGAGCTGACCCATATAGGCCACCATATAGGCCAGACTACACACAAAACCCAAAGCAAGTGAATTTGAACTTCAGAAGATCAAGTGGTTACAAACATGACAAGCGACTGGTGTCTCATTTCAAGTAACCTGAACAATGTAACGAGTTGGAGAGCAGGCGTCATAAACACTTTAAGTGGTGGCAGGCACCCACCCACGTGGGGGTGCTGTAAATGTACTTATTTTGGGGCAGTCCTTTAAAAGTGAGAAGTTGAGAGGCCGGAGGGAGAGTGCAGGAGGGAAGGTACTTGCCTTGCGTGTGGCCGTCCCGGATTCAATCCCAGTACACCAGACGGTCCCCCAAGTCCCACCAGGAGCGATGGCCGAAGTGTAGAGCCAGGAGTAAGCCCTGAGCACTGCAGCGTTCTGCCAAACAAAACCCCCCAAATCTCCACCACTCCGGTCCCCCCCAAAAAGTTGAGCCAGAATCAACTTTCCTTCATCAGCTTCTAACAGGTGCGTGGAAAACTTTTTTTTTTTGCTTTTTGGGTCACACCCAGTGATGCTCAGGGATTACTCCTGGTTCTGCACTCAGGAGTTACTCCTGGCGGTACTCAGGGGACCATATGGGATGCTGGGAATCGAACCTGTGTTGGCCATGTTGGCTGTGTGCAAGGCAAACGCCCTACCCACTGTGCTATCGCTCCAGCCCCCAAAACTTTTTTTTTTGCTTTTTGGGTCACACCCGGAGATGCTCAGGGGTCCTGGTTCTGCACTCAGGAGTTACTCCTGGCAGTGCTCAGAGGACCATATGGGATGCTGGGAATCGAACCCAGGTCGGCCGCGTGCAAACGCCCTACCCGCTGTGCTATCTCTCCAGCCCCTGAAAAACATTTTTGCTGGGCAACTTTTTATATATTTGCAAACACGAAAGTAGCCTTTATACAAGTCTATCTTTATTTGTAAAAAATAATACACAACTAAAGCTGATTTGATTTTAAAAAAATCAAAATTCATTTTGTGAGAATGTACATTTTATAATAAAATTGTATTAAAATACTGACATTTGATAGTTTAAACAAAGTTTCATTCATGTAAAAATCATATTGTTGCATGTAAAATTTAATTAGAAAATTCATAGTTCACAAAAGTACCTATTTTGTTGATAGCTCATGAGAACATTATCATAAATTTACTTAAAATACAGAACAAAATTCACAGTCGGCTTGACGTTTAGTACTGTAAAATTTTAGGCTGAATCCACTGTTATTTTTGGTAACAGGTTCTCTGGAAATAACCGAAAATTTATTGTATAACCAAGACTATTGGTTTCATAACACATCTAATAAATTGTTTCACCAAGTAATTTAAATGGAATCTAATTGAAAACACCATTGGTTATATATATACCCTTAGGATAAATAAAAAGCACTAGCAACTTTGATTTCCGTTGTCATGAATATACACAAGAAAAAAATCTGTATTTTACAGTTAAAATTTGTACAAAAAGTCAAGCCCTGAAGTATTTTCACCCCAAAGTTCTGATGTTAAAACTTTGTTTAAAAAGAGAGAGAGCAAGAAAAGAGGTAGTATGTGAAAGTATTTTTACTTAACATGTTGAACCCCTGCACCACCTATAAATAAAATTCCATTTTCTACCCAGTAACGTTATTTTTGTCAGCCAAGAGTCAGATTTCTATCACTCACAGAATGTAAAGTTGGAATGCCATTGGGAAAAAAAGTGGCCTATAAATAACTTCAGTGAATTCAACAAAAAGTACATAATGTCGTGCAGTTAATAGTTTAGTGGTAATGTCTAGTGGTAATATGAACAAAATACATCCAAGTATTTTGAGTCGAGTGAGCTTCATTTAATCAAGACTTTCCTTCTTCACAGAGTTCCAGCACACAGAGCGAATATCCTTCAAAACGGAGTCATTGGATTCTTCATTGTCTCAACGGCACGCGACTGTTTCAAAGGTGCCCACACTAGCCCTGCCGTGAGGTGAATAAATAACTGAGCGATGCCCACAGGGACCCACGAGCCTCGCACGTGTCCCTAGCGCCAGCGCGCTCCAGCCCTCGGTCCCCGAAGCGCAGGCAAGGGAGGAGCCGAGCGAGCAGCTTTGCTGACAAACACGGATGCCCCGGAAGAGAAAGCAGCAGCCCCAGAAAACTGAGCAGAGACACACGCTACCTGCACAGGGCGCGGATTATGGTGTCTGCTGAAGAGGGGACGCGAGATTCCCAGAAATCCCATGAAGGAAAGCCCCATTTCCTTTTTAAATATATAAAAAGTGCACATTTATCCTGTGTGTAAAAACAAGAAACAAACAAACAAACAAACCCAAGACCTTTGTGATTTGGGGGCATCTTTCACCCAAAAAAAGGATTCACACTACTCGAATACATTAAAGTATAAAGACAAAACACTCTCTCTCTCTCTCTCTCTCTCTCATTCTCCAAAAGGAATGATGTAGGATGTCCAGGGAGTTTGGGAATAAGGACACAGAGACTGGAAGGATAATCTTGCCATGGTTCTGAGCTAGAACATAAAGTGTAAGTTCTATTCACACGGAACGAGCCTGCAAAAGTAACGGCAAGAACATGGAAGGGAAATGGAACTCATCACTCAAAAACGCAGTTTCAAGGTTCAGCACCCAGGAAATAAACCCTAAAAGCAAGACAATCAATGGGCTTGATTTCTTAGAAATTAGCAAAAAAAAAAAAAAAAAAAAAAAAAAGGTTAAAAAAAAGCATTTGAAAAAATTATGGTCACAATTAGTAACATTGAAAAGTGGGAAATCGAGAGGCTGGGAACTTAAAAAGCTGCAGTTGTCCAGGTACCGACAGCAAATGAGACTTTTTTTTCCACGTTGGACTCTCAGAGACGGGGTCAAAGGGCTCCGTACAGCGGGGGTGGGGGGTGGGGTGAGCGGATACCCCCCTTCCCAAGTAAGCCCCCCAAGGGATGTGCCGGCTCTGAGCATGTGCGAGCAAGTCCCCAAACAGTGTTTCACCAGCCCGAGATCCCTCAGCTTTAGACTCGGGTGCACCTCCCCCAGGGATCCCCGATTCCCGAAGTCCCCCGTGTGCGGGGCGGTGGCTCGCAGCCCCTCCTCGAGGCCATGCAGCGGTCCCTGGGTGCCCGCGGCGTGTGCAGTGAGCCCGGGGGCCACATCCCACGCCTCAGAGCGTGATGATGGTGCCATCCTCCTCCAGGAGTTTCTGCCCTGGGCTGTGCGTCTCAAACTCGGGGCTTGGGCCGCCTGCAGCGGGCGCGGGTGCAGTTAAACTCACTTCGCCGCAGGGCAGGAAACCGTTCTGCCCGGACGCGAAACTGAGCTCGATCTGTGTCAATGACTCCAGGCTCTCGGCGGCGGTCACGGCCTTGGGGATCTGCTGGGGCACCCCGTTGTCCTCGATGACGATGTCCTCGTCCTCGCTGTCCTCGTCCTCCTCCTCTTCCGGCTCGAAGCTCGGCCCCGCCGGCCGCGGGAGGCTCGGGAGGCTGTTGTCGGTGGACTGGCCCGAGCTCCCCGAAGTCCGGCTGTGGCGCACCACGTTGTTCCTCTGGTTGGCCGGCCGGACGGTGATGATGAGGTTGCGGCTGTTGGCGATCATCATGTCCGTCACCTGGTCCAGGCTCTTCCCGGAGACCTCGATGCCGTTGACCTCCAGGACCTCGTCGTTGACAGCCAGCAGCCCCGTGCTCTGGGCCAGGCCCCCCGGCACCAGCCGGGAGATGAAGATGCCGGGGACCTTCTCCAGGCCGTGTGGCGTCACCCGCACGCTGGAGCCGTCCCGGATGTAGAAGCCCAGGGGCTTCTCCGTGCCGTACTTGTAGAGCCGGACCCTGCGGTGCGTCTCCGGGAGGATGTCCACGTCGATGATGGACGACACGGGCCGGAAGTCCTGGGGCATGCTGATGACGATGTGCGGCTTCTTCCTGTGGTTGTCGGGCCGCAGCACGTTGGTCAGGACGTTCTTCTTCTTGGTCAGCGTGTCTGTCCCGAAGGCACTGTAGTCGGCTTCCTCTGCGGGAAAAGAAACCGAAACACTGTTGAAACAAAAAACCACCAACAAAACACCCCACGGTGGACGTCTGTATAGAGACGGTAACGAAAACACAGAGTCAGCCCTGTCACCTTCATTCAACATCAGCGGGTTCTAACCAGAGCGTGGGGCACCAGAGCTAAGTGTGCGCCCACTCCTCACGGCAGCTCAAGTGAGGGGGTGCGTTGAGGTGTGCGTGGAGCAGCAGGAAGATGCATTACCCGGAGGCAGACACTAGGGGGCCCTCTCAGGGGCACGTGGGCAAACCACAAATGCGGAATTTCACACAATGAAAGCTTGATCCCACTTGGGTGGTGGAGAATGTGCACTGGTGGAGGGACGGGTGAATGATCATGGAATGACTGAAACGCAAGCATGAAAGTTTTGTAAGTGTAGCTCACGGTGATTCAATAAAATAAGTAAAATTTTTTTAAATTTTTATTAGTGAGACACCATGAGGTACAGTTGTAGACTTAAAAATTTTCGTGCTTGGGTTTCAGTTATACAATGATCAAATGCCCATCCCTCCACCAGTGCCCATGTCCCACCACCACGGATCCCAGTATCCCTCCCACCCCCCAGCCCCCCAGCCCCCCTGCCTCTGTGGCAGGGCATTCCCTTTTGTTCTCTCTCTCCTTTTGGGTGCTGTGGTTTGCAAAAGAGGCACTGAGTCACAATCATGTTTGGTCTATAGTCTACTTTCAGAATGCAACTCCCACCCTGGGAGGATCCTCCCAACACCCTTTACTTTGGTGCTCCCTTCTCTATCTGAGCTGCCTTTTCCCCTAGCGTGTGCGGCTGGCCTGCAAGCCACGGAGCAAAATTCCTGGTACTAATCTCGGCCACTCTTGGGTGTTGGTCTCCTATTTTGTTACTTTATGTTCCCCAGATGAAGGCAATCTTTCTATGTCTATCCCTCTCTTTCGGACTCATTTCGCTTAACATGATACTTTCCATGTAGTATAACTTGTATGTAAATTTCATGACTTCCTCAAAATAAGTAACATTAAAAAAAGAAAAAAAAAGCTACACATACTACCCCCACCCCCCTTTTTTTCTTTAGCCCCGGCGATGCACAAGGGTTACTTCTGGCTCTGCACTCAGGAATTACTCCTGGCAGTGTTTGAAAACCACAGGGGATGCTGGGAATCGAACGCAGGTCACCTGCGCGCAAGGCAAATGCCGTACCCGCTGTGCTATCGCTCCAGCCCCACATAGCACACTCTCGACCACCCTTCGCAGCGCGTTCTTTAGAATGCTTCTGGGGCTTAGGGCACTCCTGTTCCACGATGCCTGGCGCTGACCCCTATCCCCTGCGCAGAGACAGGTGCGGCCCGGCCCTCCCTCCCTCCACGCCCTCCCTTGTCTCAGAATCTCCCGCTCCCGTATAATCACATTCGACTCCGTGACACGAGCAAAGGGCACCGGCTGCCAAGGTGCAGCGAGAGCGGGTCCGAACGCTGGCATGGGGGGGGGCGGCAGATCAGATAATCAAGTTAAACAGGGCAGATAAGACACATGGAAGGCAAACACAATTAAATGAACATATAGCTGACTCTCAGGAATTTGAGACTCCTGCACAAAAACTCTCCTTCAGTTTTTTCGGCTGGGGGTGGTGGTGGTGACGACTAGGTTCTTGTCACTGTCCCCCTCTGGAGAAGCGAGGACAGCCCCTGGAGGCAGTTTCTAGGTTAAGGAGGCCAACGGGCCAGCTGGCCGGCTGCCCTCCCCTCCCGGCACTCTCCCCGCACAAACTGGAGGGAGCTTGTGGGGCCAAATAAAAGTTGCCAGGTTTCTGTGTTTGGGGTCACACCAGGCGGTGCCGGGGACGAGGCTGGGGCGGGACCCTGGTGCTAGGAACAGCCTCGGGGCTCCGGAATGCACAGCTCGCACGCGGCCAGCCTGCAGGGAGCTATATATCCATGACCCAGAGTTTGGGTTTGATTTTTTTTTAGGTTAAAAAAAAATAAAATCTCCTTTTAAAATGCTGGCACCTAATTCAGTAATGAAATAACAACAGAACCCTTGCCGGGCTCCAAACCATCTGGCGCTGAACGCATCCTTCCAGCAGGGGAGAAGGAATCTCGGATGCGAACCAGGCGAAAGTGGGACACCTGGGCCGGGTGCTCTCTGAGCTCCCTGTGGCAAGAGACTTGACTGGCGCTCACAGAAGGAGCGAACGGGCGAGGAGCCGGGCTCAGCCGCAGGAACGCAAGTTGGAATCATGTTTCGAAAATATCTGGAACCCGGATAAATAAAGTCAGAACTTTCAAGGATTAGGGAAAACAAAACAACACAAAAAAACCCAGAAAACTTAAGGTCAGGGTTATAGCTCAAAGGCTGGACCAGGTGCTTAGCATGCGGGTGGCCCAGGTTGGAGCCCTTGAAGCTCCCAAGCATCACTGAGCACCCAACCAGGAGTCACTCCCAAGCACCATCATGTGTGCCCGCCCCCCCCCACCAAACAACAGGAGAGACCCCCCAGGGCTTGAGCTCAGAGCAGCCCTTGAGCGCCTTTCTGTGTGGTTCAAAAGGAAAATAATTAGGAAGTGTGCATTGTATAGCACGGTCCTCCCGTTGTTCATCGATTTGCTCGAGCAGGCCCAGTAACGTCTCCATTTTGAGAATTGTTGTGACTGTGTTTGGCAGATCGAAGACGCCACGGGGAGCTTGCCAGGCTCTGCCGTGCGAGCGAGATACTCTTGGTAGCTTGCCGGGCTCTCAGAGGGGCGGAGGAATCGAACCCGGGTCAGCCGGGCTGGCAACGTGCAAGGCAAACACCCTACCACTGTGCTATTGCTTATTATTATATTAGGAAGTATGAGAGAGGCAAAATCTACCCCCTCCCCGGAGCTGCTTTAAGCACCGTGATCCAGTCCACTGAGGCTGTGCCGGGCACTGCTGGGTTTTTGGGTTTTTTCCTCCCCTTCATTGTTGGGTCCACAGCAAAGGCCAAGCCTCCGGGGCCTCTGCAGGCTTGGCGGGCAGGAGCCCAGTAACAGTAGGGCTGCCCCCCCCCAAATGAAACAAATTAATTAAAAAGTGTCTTCTCTACACAACATCTCAAAAGGATTTCCATTTGAAGCCTCAGCGACCTTGACAAAGGGCGTTCCGACCGTACAAAGGGAGAGCGGAGCGAGGCTAAGTACATGCCTCGCTCATGGGAAACCCGAAAGGAAAACCCCAAATCTGCATAATTTGGCATCACATCCAGACGGGCTGAATGCTCGCTGCTCGGCTCTCCAAAGCAACATGGCCCGGGACAAAGGCACCTTTGTTGGTCCATCGAGCTAATCAGTTTCCAGCCACTGGGAGGAGAAATGCGTTGGCCTGGCGCCAGCACTCAGGGGCCGGGAGGGTAAAGGTGAAGGTCGGCGGGAGGAGCTGCTGTCCACCTGCGCGTGGGGCCGGCCGAACACTGCTAGACCCGGTGCCGGCGACCTGAAGCAAGAACCTTGTCCCCCCCGTGGATAATCGGCTGACCATGGACTTCAGGGACCAGCCCCCTGCACCTCCAGACAGCATAACTGGGACAATCCCCCCCACTGCTTCTCTGCAGGGGTGCCGTAGGAGCGCCCAGGGCCACTCCCTGTGATGCTATGCCCAGCAGTGTGGCTCAGCGGTCCAGTGGCACAATGACTGGCTGCAAGACCTTGGGGGGCCGCCAGCCAGCCAGGGCCTCACCCAAGGCCGGGGCTGCAGCTCAGAGGGGGGTTTCCAGGCCGCCACTGTGACAACAGTCACCAAACCGCCAAATCCAGGATGTGAGGAAGGGAGGCCGGAGGGCCCGCAGGCGAGAATGGGCGAGCACCCGGCAGCCCAGAGTGGACGGGAGCAAAGGGGGCAGGGCGGGAGGGATTCTGTGACCCCCAGGCAGGATCCCTGGACGCCACCCAACGGTCCCAGCGGGAGTGCAGAGCCCAGACGCTCTCACTAGGAGCCCAGCAGGAAGCCCGCAAGAATGAAACAATTTCCCCAACTGTTCTCAGGGCTGCGGCCTTTTCTGGAGTTTGTATCCAGGACCTGCATCTATAGATGATGTCCGGCTGGGCGCTGTCCCCAACACCTGCGTCCTTCTATGAAGTCCCACCCAGGCTGCAAGGCTGTCTCTCAAGAAAACCTTATTTACAAAACAGCTGGTGCGCCTTCCTCTGCCAACTCTTGCCCTAATCCGAAATGGTTACAAGAAACACAACTGGCAACTTTGAGAGGATTAACCCTAGCTGTGCCTGAGGGGGCAGCACGTGCTCTCTTGGCCTTGCAGGCGGATGTGCAGGAACAGGGAACAACACAGGCCGTAAGGGAGGAGGGGTCCTGGCGTGCCTTCAGGGGCACTTCTGGGCTGAAAGAGGGGGCAACCAACTTATACTTATAAACCCAAAGGGGCCCGGAGAGCTGTGGGGGCCCAAGGGAGTCAGCAGTTGGGAACGGGTATGGGGTGCAGGGAGCCTCCTAGGGGAGACAGTCGGGGAGGGGGACACCTGCCAAGTCCTGACCTGGGGGAGACGCCTGACAGCGGGTGTGTGTGTGTGTGTGTTAAAAAGACACCCTGGGTCCGGAGAGATGGCACAGTGGGTAGGGCATTTGCCTTGCACGCCGCCAACCTGGGTTCGATCCCGGGATCCCATATGGTCCCCCAAGCACCGCCAGGAATAATTCCTGAGTGCAGAGCCAGGAGGAACCCCTGAGCATCGCTGGGTGTGACCCAAAAAGCAATAAATAAATAAATAAATAAATGACACCCTGAGAATGTAGAGAATGTCCAACTCTCCTAAGCTCCTCCTTCCCTGCTGGGGAGTTTCTTTTTCTTTCACTTTCCAATAATCCTTTCTATTAAAGGGAGGGGGGAAGAGAGGCGGGAGAGGGAGGGAGGGAGGGAGGGAGGGAGAGAGAGGCCCACGACACAGCGGGGAGGGTGTCTGCCTCGCACACACTGGCCAAGGTTTCATCCCCGTAGCCCTGTGGTCCCCAGAGGGCTGCC